GCAATAATGGATTTTACATGGAAAAAATGCCAATAACTTTAATTATATTTTCTCTTTTTCAAGTTAACTTTTAATCTTTATTTAAGTGCCTACCTGATTTTTCTATATTTAAAATTATAGAATATAAACTATTTTGCATCTTTTTAAGAATTTTCCATATTGCTTCATTGACATCTTAATGGTATTTTTAATCACTGCACAAGAATAAAAAAGAAAAAAATAAATTGAATGATATTGAACATTTGATATTGAACATTTATTTTCAATTTTTCACTTTAATAAATAATACCAATAATAGTTTAATAAATATATTTTCCCTTACAAATAAGAATTATAATTGTTCTGCAATTGAATTACTGAATCAAAGCATATAAAATATGCTGGGGATTTAGCTCAGTGGTTCCACCTCCTGCCTCAGAAGCACAGGGTCCCAAGTTCAATCCCTGGTACCAAAAAAAAAGAAAAAATGTAAAATATCTCTTATGATGAATTTCTAAAAGGGTTTACCAATATTTGTTCTCCCATTGCAAAGTATAAATATTCCCATTTCATCATATCTTTATAAACATGAGGTACTAACATTATTTTTTGTCTTTTGTTCGTTTAAAAGATATAAAATGGTAATGGTGGTTTTAATTGGTATCTCCTCTCCCATTAAATAGTTTTAAATATGGTTGTTAATTATATCCTCCCTTGGCAGTCTATTCATGTCAGGCCTAGCTGTTTTGAAGTTAGAATCCTAGTCAGCTAATCAAATATATAGTCCTCCAAGCCATTTGGAAAGTAGTTTCATAAAACAGCCAACTGAGCATTTGTGACTCAATTAAAATGAGGTTTTTTTCATTTACTTATAAAACTCCAGTGTATCAGAATGATTTAGGTGTGCTTAACTTTTCCTCAACAAGTTTTAGTACTTTTTAGTTCCTTGCCTTGTATGTTCTCAAAGACCAAAGACACCCTTTAGGCCTTCTAAGCCCACTCAAAATCTAGCATTTTCTACGTCCAGATTCTCCCCTCTTTCTTAGTCACAAAGTCATAGCAGTTTCTGACTTTGAAAGGCAGGAGGGCCATAGGAATATGATTCTTTGTATAGTAGAGGAAGGAAAAGGTCCTAAGACAAGGAGAAAAAAACCATAGCTTTTTCCAAGACCTAAACCTACTGTTTCTCAAACAATGCTTACAGAGCCTTGTGGGTAAAGGCAAACATTCAGAATGCTGGCATATGCATCTTCCACAAATTAAGATAGCTTTGCTTCATTCCACAGGGATTCAGACTTCTGAAAGAGTCTCTGCCCAGACAGAAGTTATCCAAAAGCTTTCTTTTAGTAACTACTAAAAAATGAAGTCATTTTTTTTCTAGAATAGTGCAGAGGGAAGAAGACTAAAGTGGTTTAAAATGATACTTACATGGAATAAGACTCAAAAGCTCTGAGTTAAATCTAATGTTAAATCCATTACACAGATTCCTTTATTACTCATATTTCCTCCTGTCTCTTTTGTCTATTTTATTTCTTCCTTCACTTTACTAACTTTTATGTGTTTTTTTATAAGCCAGACCTTCAAAGCAGGCACCTGTATTTTTGTGGTATAATGTATCTCTAAGGGTTCATATGAGCTATCTGAGAAGCATTAGACATAGACAACATTTTTAAACAAGTTTTAGAATTTTAACTTTCTTATGACCTCTTTATTAAAACTGAAAACTCACCTGTCATCTCTTTTATCTTTTCCTTTAATGATTGTTCTGTCCCACTTAGCAAAATAAAAATACATGTCTCTTTTTTCCTGTCTATGTGCATTCCCTGGTGTTTAATAACGTCCTGGGAACAAAAAGTCAAATATAAATATTATTGTGGTGGTGTTGGATGACTCTAAATAACATTTATTTTTTTAAGATAGATGTTTCCTATTTTTGCTTTGAGTGAAATTAAAGTAAAAACCTCATTAAGTTATATACCACTAAAAATAATTTTGATGATAGATCATCGAATGTGAATTTTGAAGCATAAGGAATTTAAACAAGTTATATTGCTAAAAAAAATGCCAAACATTTTCTTCAAATTCCATATACTTACATATATATGTACAAAGTTTTTCAATATTTCACCTATAAAAATAAAAATAGAAAAAGAATCTATGCTAAAATCTGTTTCATTCTAGCAATTAATATGATCCATTAACTGATATATAAAATAATTAGGGAAATGTATCACCATTTAATAACATTCATTTTCACTAAAATTTTATTCTTAGTTTTAATAAATATCACTATTTATATGAGTTATTTTTTGTTCCATTTGTAATGATCATAGAAAATAAAAAAGTGAATATCAATGTTTACATATATTTTACTTGGAAAGATGTATGATGGGGTAAGAAAGATCTATGAGAAAATAAAACGGAAATACAAATTCAAAGAAAGTTAAAAATGATATAAAATTTCTAATATTTTAAAGAACTTGTACTTTAAGATGCTTTAGGTAGATATTTAGATTCATTGGGTACACTTAAAGGAGAAACAGGGTTTCTTTTAAATCATCAATATTTAGGTACGTTTAAAATTTGTAATAAAAACTATATATGTGCATTTAAATATGTGGGAGGGAGAACAAAGATTTCCAATATTCTTTTAGAAGATATACAAGCAACAAATCCTTTTTGGGACATAGCAAACAGAAATCAAAGCAAAAATAGGTAAGTATGGAACATCTTACTATGGATCAGAAGAGTCCTCTAGTGAGAGGAGGTGTGGGTTTTGAAGTGCCAAGAGAGTATTTCATTGTAGGCTTTGTGTTCAGTATTCTTGGGATTCGTAATTAAAATTTATTCATTTCAATCTCATGGAGAAGTATGCTTCTGAAGAGACATAGTGACATGTCATTTAGTTATATTTAAACACATACACACACACACACACACACACACACACACACACACTATTACCAAAGGAGGAATTCTCATGAGTTTCCAGGCAAAGTTACATTTCCATTTTCCTTAAAATAATAACAAGTAGCTAGCTTTATTAAATGTCTACTATTTTCTAGGGTAGAGGTTCTCCTGAGAAATTGCTATAAATGCAAATTCTTATGCCCCAAATCTACTGAATCAGAAACTCTGGGCATGGGGCTCAGGAAACCAGGTAATCTAGATGCAAGCCAAAGAAGATAATATTACAAAACATCCAGCATGGTGCCTTGAACATAGGCATTTCATAAAAGCTAGCTGCTACTATTTTTAATAAATAGTTAATTCTAGCTCCCTAGGAGAATTTTTCTAGTTAATTCTAGCTCGTTGGAAGAAACAGTTCTATGTGTTCAACTATTCATAGGATGTAATAGAGCTTAAATCAAACTTATTGCCTGTACTCAAAACAGATTTCCTCTACCAGAGTCTTCATTTCTATCACTAGAAGAAATATATCTGTAAACCACTGAGGTTTCAACCATAAGCTGTCCTACTGAAGGATGATACATTGTGATCTCAAGAGCCTATATGCCTGGATGTATTTCTTCTATAAGCTCTTCAGGCTCTGAAATTCTCCCCATCAAAAGTCACTTTATTAGCTTAAGAAATTTCCTCCAATATGAATTTTGTTAAAATTCATAACAAAATGTGAAAAGGTGTATCAGATAATCAGAATACAAGAATTTACCTAGCAGACCCCTCAGAGTCTTGTGCTACTGCTGCTGCTAACCATGATGAGGGTGATCATGACAGGCGTGATTTCTAGATGGGGGATCTGAGCAGGTCTCTTGCACCAGTAGATGGCTGCAAGTCATTCAAAAAGGAGCTGTGCTCTAGCAGTCTACCTCTACCCCTGCAATGCCCCTAGGAAATAGGCACCTCCCAGCAGGAAATGAGTCAGAAAGGTCCAGCAACTTGCCAAATTCACAGACCCAGGGAGAGAAAAGACTTTGTTCTCATACTTACAGAGAGGACACTCTGCATTTTGCTTTTGCCCTAGAGAACTGTAGATAATACCAGACCTAACCTACTTCATAGCTTTCCATTAGTCAAAGCATTGCCATCCCTTAAATTCTAGTTTAGTTTTTTACTTCTAATTTATTTCTACCTCCAATCTCAGCCAATCTCATATTTTCTGCTTATTTTGTCTTTGTAAAAACTCTTCCATCAGTTTAGAATTCTGCAATGTTTTATCACTGTTTAGTGCAGAAATTATTTAATTTCAGTGATTCCAGGATTTACTTAGTGATAGGTCTCCCACTACCTCAGCAGCTATTATGTATAGTAGCTGCCCTCTTCCTATGGTGCCTTGCCCCCTCCCCTGTGTGACATCATGCCAAGATGGTTGCTCCCACCAAAGAACAAACCCTTCTTCCCAGCATGCCCCTGGTCCCACCTAGAGAGTAACCTAATACTCGCTCACCTCCTATCACCTAGTGATGTCACTGGCTCCTCCACTCCCTGATCACTACCTCACTCAACCCCACCTCAGCCCCTACAAGCCCCACCCCAGTCTCTATAAAAGACTCTCCCTGCCCCAGCCATGCTGCTTTTGTCTCTCCTTTGTTCAGAGACAGCCCGGCAGATCTATTCCCCTAATAAAGGCTTGTTGTGGCCTGGTCTGGTCTTGGTTTTCGGCCCTTTTACCTGACATTTCAGTGTTATATTTAAATACAGATTCCCAGGCTCTGATTTAGTTCATCTGAAACTGGGGTCCATGAATCTGAATTTTGACCACCTCCACAGAGATAATTAGGGTGTCCCAAGACTACAAACTATATTTTGAGAAATACTATCTGTTGTGCATTTAATTCATACTCAAGTTATCATTTAAAGTGCTCTAAAATTTGGTTTACCTTATCTATTCCACCTTTAAAGAACAAATGTTGGCCATTCTTTGGCTTTAATATGAACTGAGAAAATCGTTCTTTATGTATTTATATCAGAATTTGCTACATGGAGCATAAATGACTAAACTAAATAAAAATATCCAGAAGTATATGTCTCTCAAAAGAATTCTATTTCCTTGGGGGGTACAGCAAACAAGAAACTAGAATGGAGAATGACAACAGTACCAAAGTGTGGCCCCTGAAGTGTCAGCAACTTCTCCACATAGAGGGGCATGATTTTTCATTGAGACCAGGATTTTGAGATGAGTATTACATGTTAAAACTCATGGTACTCTCAAAATGGAGTTGAAAATTTGAAGCAAGTAAGACCAAGACACAAGTAAAATTATCAGTTTTTTTAAAAAATGTGATTATGTTCTCCTAAATAAAAACTATTGAAAATTTATCCTCTTAATTTGACCCCACAAGTTATTTTTTAGTATTCACACCACTGTAAATAGAATGTGCTCAGTAAATAGTGGACAGTTATATTCTGCTTATATACTGACTTATTGCCTCAACTATAACCTGTAAATTGAATTACATGATGATAGTTATAAAATCTTGCATGTTCTTATGAGTTGGAGTACCTGGCTTTCATGGAAGAACTATAGTATGTCAAATGCTATGGCTTCCTGTGAACTAACTCAGCTGAGTTTGTTTTTGTCACTTTTGGAAATTAAAATTGATAAAAATGTTAAACAGGCATTGTGTTAATACCATTAGCCCAGTGTATTTTTCCACCTTAACAGTGACACTATGAAGCAGGAACTGTCATGATCCTTAATATTCTATTGTTGAAGATGAGGTGTAGAGGTTTAAGAGATTCACTGGAGACAATGAAAGGAAGTGGTGGAACCAAGATTCAATGGCAAGTGAAGAGGATGAAAGAAGGTAGTAGGAGAGGTGCATACTTGAATCAAACCTTCTCTCCTTCAAAGTTTTCAACATGGTTTCATCACTAAGGGTACCAAGTTTTCTAGCAATGTGCAGGGTGTGATGAAATCAACTGGTAACTTTACTCTCTTAGTCCACCTGATTCTTTCATTGACCCAAACAGTCTCATTCTTACAATTTCTAAACTGACAACTTTTAAGCATCATGGAAACAACATGAACATGAGGAAAATGTGGATGTGGGTGATAAGCAGGATTCTCTAGCAATAGATCCTCTACCATTTTTCATGAGCAATTCATTATTCAGGGTGGGATAGGGAAACTTAAGACTTCACATATTACGGTTACAAATCAAGGGAAGCACAATAGGTAGGTGGATGCCATAGAGAACTAATTTGTTAACAGGAAAAAATATGAAAGTATGCCCTGTAGATGGTGAGGGCTAGTTTTGTTTGCTTATTTTGATTTGGTCTGTGTATTTAATGTCCTGCAATTTATTGTGCAGCAATTTTAAGGACCTGACCTTAATTTCATGACTAGAACTTCCCTGAGCATCAGAATCACCTGGAAGATTAACATGCAAATCTCGGGCCCCAACCCCAGCATTTCTGATCCACTAGATCTGGATGAGGCTAAAAACTGGCATTTCTATAAAGTTTCTAGAAAATGCTGATGCTGCTAGTCTGAGAAACACATGTTGAAAACCATTGCATTGGATTATCTGTATCACATTATATTTTGGTGATCAATATTTTGTTCTTTTCCAGAACTTTTTCACACTGTTGAATCTTAATTTAAGGTTTTAAAAGCCCTGAAATTAAGCAGGGTTGAGGATTTGTTCATATTTTCTTTTCTGAGACTCTCTTTTCCTCAACTTCACTATTTCTCAAATGCATCCTCCCCACCCCACCACAATTCTAAAAATGCTTGCTTGAGCCCTTAACTATAAGTCTCAATAGGCTGGGTCTTATCCCCCAAAATCCCAAAGTTTTGATAATATGCTTTATATCTATTATTCAAATATACTCTATGTTTCCATGATCTATAAAAATTTGTAAAATCTTTTTCTGTATCATTTAAGAATAAATAATCTTCCAGTCAAACTTGTTCTACTATGGTTCTTAACCAGACACGAGGAGGCGCCAGTCGCACGGGAATGGCTCGAAACTGTCTTCAACGCCGCAGCTGGAAGATAGACATCATGTACTCTTTTTTTTTTTAATTAAATTCTTTTATTGGTACATTGTAGGTATACAACACAATTACATTTCTCATTGGGAATGTACCTTTACATAATGCATCTTGGTTCTTATGGAAAAAATAACATCATGTACTCTTTTCAACACCAATTTCAAAATCTGCCTTAATTCCTATCAGGAAAGGTTCCTCAATTAAATTACTTTCTGTCTGAGAGGAAAAGGGTTTCTATAGGGATTATTTTAGGTCTCTGAAAGCCAGTAAGAATGAGAAAAATAACCTTGAATGTAGACCTCAGCAAAACAGCCCTCAGGTGCCTCGTCACTAAAAGTGGTTCAAGAACCAACAGTAGAAAGATCTGTTTTAGCATAAAATGCTCAATGCCCAGCGCAGGGCCTCTGAGTCGAAATCTGCATTGTTACAGGATCCCCAGGTGATTTGCATACGACTGAGTGACATTTGAGAACCATTGCTGCTGGGCTAAACCTTATACTCCTTAAAATATTTAGACCTTTATTCTCCATCCCCTGTATCATCTCCAGCCCCCAGAAAAATATAAAATTGACCTTAAATTTCCACTTTGCTTAATCTGTTAAAGATATATGTTAAGAATTTTTAAGTGATAGCGTGTTTTTAAAATTTTTTTTCCTGAGGCTACTCCTTTGTGAGGTTATTAAAAATGCATGTGAAATCTGCTATACATGACAGGCAGAAAATCATCTCACAATTAAGAAATTTTATGATGCTTACATAGCTTGTGTGTTCAGTCATTTCAGGCAGAAAAATCCATAATTTCAGTTAGAAGTGTCAGTCTGGTAGCTGTAAAATACAGGCCTTAACCTTCTCTGTCTGTCTTGATCAGAACAGCTTCTAATATAGTGACCCATTTCTCTGTTCTCTCATGGCTGCTTTCCTTGGGGAAATCAGATTGGAGGATATAAAAGACAAGCTTTAATTTATCTTCCCCTTCTTTATACTTGTCCATAACCCAAACACATGAACATACTTCTTTCCTCTTGAGCTAAATGTAACTTCAGCACTTCTCTTGCCTTAATGTGTTTTCCTAATTAGCTTTAACATTAAAACCAGCTGCTTCTGCAGTGTTTTTTACTTTTATAAAGCATTAGAAGATTAATTGACTCATTATGTAGAAACAAGAGGATACAAATTTAGGGGAGGTTTTTGTTTAACTTGGGTTATAAATTGCAGCTCATTTTCTTTATTTATGTTTTCCCTACGCATTACATCTCCCACAACTAAGGGCTTTTTGTTTTAGTCTTATAGATGATCATTTCTTTGTTTCTTTGAAGTGAAATCAATTCAGTATCTAAATACTCGCTACTGAATTGAGACAAAAGCCCTAAAATTATAAAAGCTGCTTGCATAGTCTTTGTTTGTCAAACGAGAAGACAGAGAGATAGAAGGTTCTGGTTATATTCCTATCATTACCTATCTTTGAATTTCAGGCAAGTGTCACATAGTCCTCCCAGAGTGTAAGTTTCTTCATACATCAAGTGAAGCTAAAATTGGTTCTAACAAGCCAACAAAGTGGCTGTAGGGGAGCATAATATAATGTAATTTAAATGCAATATACTAATAAGATGTATAACTTCTATTTAAATCTCATTATTCCAGCTTGCATAAAAACAGATTGTTGTTATATCTTTATGCATATAAAAAGGTTTATAAATGTATTGCTACTACCCAGTTAGTGATTCCAGAAAATTAACACCATAATCAGAAAGGTTACTATTTATTTAATTTTTACTATACTTTAAATACTTTACAAACAGAATTAATAAAAATATTTATTCAATTATTATTATATATTTTGTTATATTTATCACTGATTCAATACATAGTAAGAAGTTATTTGAAAAGGTATTTGAAAGGGTTTAGGCTCTGGACTTTACATAGATTCCTTCATAAATTCTCACAGCAATCCTATAAGTTTGGTATCACATATTTCCTCTATGCTACTGATTAGAAAACTGAGATATGAGGAATTAAGAGATTTACAAAAGTTTGGCTGTAATTCAGGTTTACATGGCTACAATTTTCATGATTTTAACCCATCTGCTTTATTGCTACTTCCTGTCTTTGATCCTTTTATGCAGATCTGAAATTCAGACACATTCTGTACGTCGCCTTTATATTCCCCTTACCCTTCACTCTGCCCTCAAGAATGCCAGTGCACACATTTTTAGACACAGAAATGAGATGCACTTGGACATGAAGCTCAAATGAGACAGAAATGAGGACAGACAGCACTTGAGGGCACATACTTTCCTTAGAAATTCAAGAATTCATCTCTACAAGAATAGTATATATCTGGAGGGAGGAAAGAAGAAATCTAAAATATTTCAGCAGCTCACTGATAAGAGGAAAGCCATGTCTTAACTTTACTGTCAAGCCAGCCTTCAAACAACACTTGGCTCCAGCGTTTGTCCAGCCATGGCCCGAGTATGTCCTTGAAGGGTAGCTTTACAAGAGTGTCCTAGGGCTTGCAGAAATCATCATCAGAAATCTCTCTGTATTCTAAGGGTTTAGTTTCAGGACCAGCACAGCTACCCACTGCAGATAGCCAAATTTGTTGGTGTTCAGGTCCCTTATGCAAAATGGCACAGTACTTTCATATAACCTATGAAAACTTCCCATATCCTTTAAGTCATCTCTAGATTACTTATATTACCTAACACAATATAAATGCTATCATTGTATTGTTTAGGGAATAATGATAATTTAAAAATCTGTATATGTTCAATACATACACAATTTTTTCTCATGTATTTTTTGACCCAAGTTGATTGAATTCCTGGGTACAGAGGGGCAGCTGTACTGAAAAGTCACAAGAACCTAAATCCAAGTTTTCCTCTGGGTTTTTTTGTTTCCAGAAAATAAGTTGGGAGAAGCACTGTATTTTTGTTAAGGAAGGAATAGACTGATGTTTAAATTTTGAGAGTAGGATTAGGAATAGTGCCCTGGATTCCTTGAAGCAGATTTACATTTTTGCATAATGGCAGCAGTAATAACATTTATTTTGTGCTATTTATTGGGCACCAATTAAGTCTAGTAACTGTGTTACTTCTGGTCCTCAAATAAATTTCTAAGGTATTATACCCAGATTTTATAGAGGAGGAAACTAAGCTTAGATATGTTACCTACCCTATATCACATAAAGGAGGTGAAGCTAAATTTGAATTTTAGTCTACATGACTCTAATGTTAAAGTTTTATCTAGGACATTCTGCTACTCCTCAAAGATCTTTCCAAATATTTTATTCCTGTAAATATTATAGTTAACAGGAAGGTTTATTTACCAGAAGTGCCAAGTAGAGCCATAGACAAGATATTTTCATAAATTTTTATTTTGATAATTCTACTAATTAGATAGACTAATAGTAATAATCAAAGCTGAACCCTGTGAAGGAATAATGCTGAACTAGGATTCCCAAGTTAATCCTTAATCATAATTATCAGTGAAAAATGTTTTGTATAGAATTAGCTTTGTAGGAAGTAATTGAATGAATATTGCAGGAAGATGTTCATGGTTAAGATGCAAGTGAAGCATTCCTGAAGCCTGAGGCCAGGATATATTCAAGGGTTAGGACCTGTGCCTGGCTAGCTAAAACCCTTCTGAGCAAGGAATGATGTTGAGGGTATGGACTTGGGGAACACAAACGGGAATTTTATGTTGATAATGTAAAGGTAACATAAGCCAATTAATGAGGACATCACAGAAGAATGACAGAGACTGGCAAGAGATAGCTTGTTCCATGCAAAAGGCTATTGAATTATACTCACATGTGTGTCCCATGTCATCCTGGCATTACTTAGCCTCCTAAGGAAGCTTTTTAGACCTGACTTCTCTAAATCCCAGAATCTCCACTAAAAAACTATCTAGGATTTATCTACACACGATTTATATTTTTTCTTCAATAATTGAAAGTGTTTTTTTTTAACTCAAGACTGTAGAGGCATTAAGGTTTAGTTAAGAATAATTCTGGAAAGAAAACATAAATATGGAAATTATATATGCATTTAACTTATATAAATTAACAATTATATGCATCAAATTTCATGTGCAGAACTAGATGACATTATTAACATCAATTTTCCTCACACAGAAAGTAATGAAATCTTTTGTTAATTGGAGCTAGGAAATTTTATAGTCTAGTCTGGATTCTCTTGTGTTATCATTCAGGCTTCCTGCTTTGATAGATGCTGGGGAATTCAACTGCAAATAAGTCTCAGAGGTTCTCTGTATGAAATTGCTCCAATTATGACTTCAGCATATTCTCATCAAGCACATATCTGAAGATGTGTACTTCTTCCCAAATGCAGCCTGAGGTTGCTAATGATCTGTGAAGGGACACCTGTGGGTCAGTAACACTCACTATCATCAGGTTACCTCTCTTGCCAATCACTGCACAAGTGAAAAAGCCTGGCTTTCTTGACAGGAGAGAAAAGGTTTCATTCAACATTGCTCAGAATCAAGGACTCTATATGACACTTCCTGACTATGCAATATGACCATTCCCATATAAAATCCATAATTCTACATATTCAGATGTTTTAAAACCTTTTTCCTTTGTAAATCAGTACTAGCTTAAAATGTTTAAATAAAACTGAAGACACCACTTCTATTTTATGGAATGAAAATATTGAATATCCCCAAACAAATGAGTGATGATTATTAGAATAGCATTTATTTGAAAATATGCCTTTATTAATATAATTGAATTATAATAACTGTTTCAATAGATAATGGAGAAAGTTGTTGTTTATAAAAACTTGAAAAGTATTTCATTTGCAATCCACAAACAATGATTATTCTCTGTTCTGAATGTTTCCAAATTGTTTGTAATTAATTTTTCAGTATATTATCTATTCTTATTTCTGAAGGGTCTCCAGTGTCAGTAGGTATAGTTGTCCAGGTTGAAAGTGTTGACAGCATTTCAGAAGTTGACATGGTAAGTTTCTCTATGAGCTACTGGTCTTTTTCTAGAAAAGTACTTAATAGTGGTAAAGTCACTGGTATTTTAATAAATGTTTTAATTATGTATGTTATTTGTCTTTCCTACTTTGTTGAATAGTAGAATTATGTTTACTTTACTCTCTTCTATTCACATATTTAACCTTTGATTATGATTGTCTTTCCAATTCCCCTTTTTTATCTCTAATGGCTTTTCAATGGTGAAGCACTATAGAACATCATGATACATGTATCTATATAACATGGACTTGGAACAATCATATAAGAAGGATAGTCCTAATACATGTGCAATGTAAAAACATGACCATCAATCTGTACCTATAATGATAGAAAATGAGACCAAGTTTCATAGACTGCTTGCATATGTTTCAATTGATGTTACTTGTGCTTATCTGTGAACCTGTAGTGGAAGACAAAGGTTTTGTTTTTTTTTAGGTTGATGAGACTAAAAATTTAAGAAAATTTTGTCAATTTCTTTATATCTTATGGTTGTCTAGAAGAGACTGCCATTATTTTATTTTACAGTGAAATACCTGTATTTTATAAAATATTATGTCAAGCCCTGTTCATAAAACTTGATACTAACCACTTCTTTTTACCCTTTTTCCTTTTTCTCCATTTTCTGTCTCTTGTGACATTTAACATGCTTGCTTTGTATAACTTTCTTCTCTTAACCTGTTTTTACCATTTTATCTATTTTTGTGTTATCATATCCTCTTTGCCATAAGTTTTCCGTTTCATTTTCTCTATTCCTAATTTAGAACCGCCTTCCCTGTCTACATAATCATCAGAGCCATTTTTCATTTAAGGAGTTTTCAAGGTTTTCCAGAATTTTACTCTGAGAAAGAATAGGTAATATTGTGGCTAACTTCTCTGTACAAGCCTGCCATACTTGTTTTCAGATATGTAATTTCTTTCTAACCACTCCTGATAACTTGTTAATGAACTCTCAGAGTTTTGTTTAACACCTTTTAGTTTATTTTTCAGTACTAAATGAAGACTGTATTTATAGTTTCTAATTTTCAGTGTTTGCTTCCTTGTTCTTACCTAATTGCTACATGTCCTTAAATCTGAGTCATTCTTCCCATTTCATTTTGTTCTCCCCAGTTCTGCTATCTTTTCTATCTTTTTTCAGTGTTTCTTTTCCTTCCATCACATACAAATGTTAGTGGCAGGGCTTTGACAAGTACCCTAGTACTTAGTAAGATGCAATTTATGGATATAGTTTACATTTTAGTTCTATGCCCCCATCCATACACCCAAAGTTTTAAACTATTTAATTTTGAATGCCTTTTCATGGAGGCTCTGCCCTTTCATTGACTCTAGAACCCAGACTTTGCTTTTCCTTAGACTCACTCTGTTTGTTACACTTAAGTCACTCACCTGGTTCTTGGAGTCCTTTGAGATTCTCCTTCCTTTTCTGTTTTAAATATGGCAGCTTGGATTTTTGTTTGTTTATTGTTGTTTGGGGTTCCTGTTTTTGGGGGGGGGTTGGTACCAGGGATTGAACTCAGGACCTTGTGCTTGCAATGCAGGCAGTGGAACCACTGAGCTAAATCCCCAGCCCTAATTTTTTAAATAATACATAAAAGTTATATATATTTACATATATACATGTAAACATTGCATAATACATGCATACATTGTATAATATTCAACTCAGGATAAACATCTAATAAACATTTATCATTTCTTTATGGTGAAGACTTTCAAAATCGTTTCTTTTAGCTTTTTGATATGGGTAGTACATTAATGTTATATAAAGCCACCTAAATCTGCAATAGCACACCAGGACTTCTTGCTCCTATCTAACTGTAACTTATTACCCATTGATCCACTTTTTCCCATCTCATCCCATCACTTCAACTACTCTTTCCAGCCTCTGGTAACTTCCATTCTACTCTCATCTTCTACAAGATCAATCTTTTTAGATTCCACATACATGGGAAATCATGTCTTCCAATGAAAGCATGTTTTTGAATGAAATCAACTCTTCAATGAATAAAGTTAAACAACTTTGTTTTTAAAACTCCATTTTCCATCTGAAAAGATTTAATTTGTTATTATCCCAATCTATGTACTTAATGGACACTTTTATATAAATTAATCCTTGCACTTCATTTCCTTTTCTGGAATCTGTTACATGTGTGCTCTTAAGAAATTTTCAAAAGTTGTTTTAGATACTTTTTGTGATACAACTTTTTGATGCATAAACTGTAACATTTTGTTATTATAGAATGCAGTCTGGAAATTTAGATTCCATATATATTATTTTAATAAGCAATATCACAAAAGATAGGGACCAGGGATATACCTCCGTGGCACTGCGCCTGCCTTGCAAATGCAAGGTCCTGAGTTCAATCCCCGGTACAGAAAAAAAAATCACAGAAGATAAAAGTATAAAAGATAGAGAAAAGGAAAAAGAAAACTAAGCAGGAATCTCTTAAGGAAGCAGTCCTAAAAAATACAAATTATTAAAATCAAATCTTTTCATCTGTATACTTAATATTTTTATTTATAGTAATTCCTCCCAAAACTGGATGAAAATTTCAGGACACCTAAAAATTCCAAGAAGGTCTAAATGAAATCTATGATTCATTATACCTTATTTCTGACTATAAACTTGTCAGCTAATGATTGGTCTATTCCTTACCATTCTCTAATCCAATATTTATTTCAGTTCAATATAGATATGAAGTTAAACTTTCTTTATTTTGCCACCACTCTACCAAAGGAAACAGGACCAATTTAACTCATTAATAAAAAAAGGCCTGATCTAGAAGATTTTGACCCTTCCATGCTCAAAGACAGTACTTCCTCACACCTTTATGCTGCAGAAACAAGCACTTATTTCCCTTCCCTGACATAACATCTAAGTTATCTCTGAATGACCTGATCTGCATCTAAAATTCTCATTGTCCAACTCTGCAGGCCCTAAAACTGGACATCATCTTTATTCTCGGAATAAGGCTAACTATGCTACTTGGTATCAAATAAAACTGGACTGAGTTCACTATGTCCAATTTGAAAATCCTTTCTAATTATCAATGACATTCACCCCACCCCCAGAGTTAGCTTTTTAAATTTCTCCGTGTATCATCTTCACATCTTTTCTTGTCTCACCCTGAATTCACTTTCAATATCTTTAAATTCTATCTCCCAGCATGGCCCTCATGACAGTGCCAGCTAATGGTGACGGTGATATATCACCAACATGCGCCAAAGTTGGCTATTTGACTTCATAAACTCTGTGACTTCATAAACTTCATAAACCCAGTGACCTTCAGATCAGATTGAGCAACTCATTCTAAATATATGCTTATTAAGGCAATCCATGCATAATTCCTTGTAGAGTAGTGCTATGTTTAATGGATGAATCATTCTATTTATTTGCCCTTACCCTAATCCAAAATTACACATAGCTAATGCTCCTAGATTAATCCAGAGCAATAATACAATATACTTCTATTCTGAACCTAGAAAAAACAAACTAGCTAGCAATTAATTGGTGACTTATTTGTACTTTACTGAGACATATCCTTTGTTTGTATAATAAATGCCAAAGTTTCATTGTATGCATTGCTTCAAGAAAAAAATGGATTTTTGTTGGGAACTAAAAGATAACAAGTAAACAATTGTGAAAAGTAAGACACACTGCTACTGCCCATACCCAGTAATTTGGATCAAGCCAGCAGGTTTTCTGTTCAAATAACTAAAATGTCAACCATAATATCTGAAAGCCAAACAAAACTAAAATTGTTAACTAAATTTTTTGCTAATATAGTTTTTTCATCTCAACTTCATATCCTTACAACTGGGGTGCACAGATCAATTCAAAGCCCTGAGCTGTACTGAATCAGAATCTCTGGGAACTATCTTCTAGGACATGCACCATCTTAAAGTTCGCATGTGATTTTTTTCTTTTAAACATAAATTTGACAAATGCCTTTCATGCTATTGTTTTTCCCTCCCTCTCTCAAGCTGAGAAAGATCACTGTCTATTCCAGGACCTCTGGCAACTTGCTTCCCACCAATTGTAATAAAAAATGTATCTGGGTTTAGGGGAACTGTAGTTTATTAAATTTGGGAGACATACTTTAACAAAAATAAAATTATGAATGAAAAGCAATTCTAAAAGTGAATATCTAGGTTAAGAAAAGAAATCACATAAAATAATGGACAACAAATATTGGAGTTTTATGTCCTCTTTTGAAATCTCTTTAGATGGCTTACCTAGAAATGCTTCCTATTGATGACCCAACTACTCTTTTTCCCATTTGAATATTCTATAACTCTTAGTAACTATTGACATTAATTGGATTCCATGTGAAGGAAAACTCTAAACTTAAGCTTATTAGTATCACATTGAATTTACCAGAAAATACAAAATATATCATTAACCTATAAGTAATTAACAGCTGTGACAGTCAGTCCCAGATCTAATAGTGAAGTGATGATTCTGAACCCTATTCCTGCTGGTTTTGATTGCTCTCTTTTTCTTTCTCCCCAGGATTTTATAATGACTTTTTATCTCAGACATTACTAGAAAGACAAGAGGCCCTCCTTTCCTAGCACAACAAACAGAAGCATGACCTTTGACTATAGAGTAATCGAAAAGATCTGGGTTCCAGACATCTTTTTTGTCCATTCTAAAAGATCCTTCATCATGATGCTACTATGGGAACTACCATGCTGCGAGTTCATCCTGATGGCAGTGTCCTCTTCAGTATCAGGTGAGGAGGGCCCTCACTGCCTTTGGCTTCCTTGGCCTGCAGCCGTCCATACCAAAATTGATGGGTCTCACTTCAGACTAAACTCACAACATTGCTCTCCATTAATAATGTTGAAGATTGGGAAACAAGAAGAAAATGCAATTTTCCTAGTTCTAACATGCAAATTTTGAAGAATGGCTTCCAATTCTTCCTATACTCTGGGAATATGCTGGTTGGACAAATAGAGTGGGGCTGAACTGTGAAAATCCTTAAAGGTGTGAAACACAATTTTACAGGTATACAAACCTGTTTCTCCTCACCACCACCACCCAATCCCTGCAGCCTAATGGGAATCTTGTATTAGCTCTATAATTATCTTAACTATCACCTTTATTTTTCATAGGAAACCATAGTCACTATCCAGCTACCACTAATTTCCTTACTTTCTTTTTCTATTTTTTATTTAAAACAGCACTCCTTCTTTATTGTTCCATATTTTATTTTATCCAAATGAATCCTATGAATACTGAATGGCCTATAATAGATATTCTAAAAATGTTTGGTATTTTAAATATCCTATGAATCTCAGAAATATTCTATAGTAGGCTGAAAAATATAAAACCCCTAAAAGATACCCACATCCTTATCCATGAGACCTGTGAAAGTTACCCTATATGGCAAAAAGGATACTTGCAACTGTGATTAAAGATCCTAAAATAGGGAGGTTATCCTGAATTATCTGGGTGGATCTGAATGCAATCATAAGAATCCTTATAATAGGAAGGCAGAGGGAAAGTTTATACACACACAGGAGCAGCAGGCAATGTGACCACAAGCCAAAGAATACTAACAGCCATGCAAAGTTGTAAGGTGAATGGATTTTCCCCCAATAACTCCTAAGAGAGCAGGGCCTTTCTGACAATCTAGCCCAGTGATACTGACTTAGATCTGGCCTCCAGAACTGTGAAAGATTAAATTTCTCTTCCATTGAACCCCAGATTTGCGGTAATTTGTTATATTGGCAATAAAAACAGATACACATTCTTTCACATTAAAGATACCTTGTACATTAGTAAGACTCTCAAAATTTAAAAAAAATTTAAATGACTGGAAATGAAGCTCAATGTGAAGGCCCTGGATTTAATGCCCAGCATCAAAAAGCAATTAATGAAAAGTATTGTTTTCAATGAAACTTTAAAATCAGGTAACATAGGACTCAACTAGAGTCAAGATTCACTAGGAATTGAAGTCAGAACAGCAGAGTCTGGCCAAGGAATCAACTGTTTTAAATTTTATTTGGAGAAGGGATGAATGGTAAGAGTACACTTGGTGGATTTTTCTTGTCTTACACATTCTAAAAAAAAAAAAGATTTGGCCCTTGCCAGACTCTTGAGAGATAAGCTCTAGCTACTTGGACTATCCTACTTTGTAAGGGTCTTTGCTTACCTCCAGGGAAGTCATGGGCCAAGCCAGGTGATCTATGTTCACAATGTGGTTCATGGTGGGGGCTTGAGCCATGTGGTTTAAACTTGACATTTGGAAGGGGCTGGAGACAAATGTCAGCCACATGGTTGATCAACCACCACTACATAGTCTACTCTCAGTTGAAATTTTGGATACCAAGGCTTTCTCAGTTCACAGTATTTTATGCATGTTGTCACTGAGAGAATGAAGCACTGTCTGCATAATTCCACTAGGAAAGGACAATGGGAAACTTATCCTTGGTCTCTTGTTGATCCTATGCTTTTTTACCATTTTGAATTTTAACCTGTTCATTATAGTAAAGATAATCATGAGTACAACAGCTTTGCTGCATTCTGTGAGACTTTCTAGTGAGTTATGGAATCTTGGAGATTCCAAAATTTTAGGAGGACTCAGAATTTTTACTGGCACAACTCTTCCATCCAAGAACTGAACATGTCTAAGCCCAGAATCAAGTACTCGATTCTACACTTGGTTCTGATACTACCTAGACACCTAACTTTCTTGATACTTGAGACCGTTAAGTTTAACTGTCAATTTGATTGGCTTGGGAGCTGCTTAGGGGATTAGTAAAGCACACTGCTGAGTGTAGTATAGCTGGGTCATGGAGGTGTGACCTTGGGTACTATATATGGTCCCTGGCTGCTTCCTCTCTGGCACCGTTCCCATGCCCTGCTTCTCAGTTGCCATGAACTAAGCATCTGTGTTTCATTAAATACTTCTACCATGATGTTTCTTTCTTGGAACTAGTTGATCATAGACTGAATCCCCAAAAACCATAAGCCAAATTAAACCTCTCCTCTTTTAAGTTGTGTGTCAGGTATTGTGTCCCAGAAATAGGAAAGCTCACTAATACAGTTGTTAGTTTTTCATGTGTAATATGAAAAAATGGACTGAAAGACCTCAGAGGTCCCTTCCAGATTTCACACACTAGTAAAACACCACCATAGATAGGTTTTATTTACGTGAAGTTATCCAGATACTTTCTTGGCTTGGCAATTTGGTGTGTGACTATCGCCAATATAACTCAACCAACAGAAGTTAAAATAGTTCTACTTTTTTGATTAACTCAGGGCACCATATGTAGGAGCATCTGTTGGCTTTGTTTTGTAGACTTGCTTGGGGGCTCTTTCTGAACTTCTGATCTGCTATTATGATACCAAAGTTTCTACTTTGAGACAAGATTATATTACAACAGACTCTGCCTGAAGCCAGGAAAATCTAGAATGTAAAATATGAAAAACATAATCCTCATCAGTCCACAAACCTTTTGACTTAACAGCATCACCTGAATTATGCATTTTGCACATAGATCTATGAACATGCCCTGGGCTTTTTTCCTTACTACTAGAAAGAGAATTTCCTCAAGTAAACTTGCTTTATGAAGGAAACTTTTATCTATAAATGTATTTATCACAATCGCAAACCTTTATTGTCAGAAACTATTAAAGTTTGGGTCTTCCCAAAAAGCAGGAAATATTTAAATCTACTTAAAATCACCACAATTTGAAATGTACACCAGAAGGGACCAAGCACAAAATGTAGAGGTCAAGAGCAATAATGGAAGCTGGAATTTAGTCATTAACCTATGCCTTAAGCAAGTCACCCACCCTGCTTGGTTTGTTTCCTCATACTGTACATTTTTTGGACAGAAGACAGTAACACCTGTTTTGCATTACTCTTGAAAGGCACACAAACAGGCAAACAATAAAAAAGCTTCGATGTTGCTAATTGGGCCATATGGTTAAATGATCTTCAGTTTTCTTTTTCTCATTCCTTTTATAGTATAACAGTTTTGGCCATGTGCTTTATGGATTTCAGCAGGTTTCCTCTTGACACTCAAAACTGTTCTCTCAAACTGGAGAGCTGTAAGTCTTCCTGATGAAGTGAGTGTGCCTCTTCTGAACACACCATCACATACTTGCCAAGAAATAAGCACACTCTTAGCAAGTGTTTGAGAATCTTGATATATTTTTCCATACATCTGTGGAGTATTTTGTTTTTTTCTGTTTTGCTTTGCTTTGTTTTTACTAAGGACAATGGTGGTTGTCTCTCAAATAAGATTCGGGATGGGGGGAGCTTTGATAAGAATATATTCTGCAGTTTCCACAGTGGGTATGAAGGGACAACTCCCTAAAATGGTGTAATCTTCTACTATTATTATGTAGATGTGACTCAGACTTTCCACATTTGGATATCTCTAGAATTCATGTTCTCAGATTAGTCACAATCTCCATTAAGTGTACATGGGTTCCCCAGAAAAACTCAGCTCTAGGCACAGATCCCATAAGAGAGGGCATCTGAGCCAGCTCCCTGCAAATTGCTTTCATCCATCAGTTATTTTTTTATTAGATGTCTTAAAAGCTGACTGCAGGGCTGGGGATTTAGCTCAGTGGTTCCTCCACCTGCCTCAAAAGCGCAAGGTCCTGAGTTCGATCCCAGGTACCAAAAAAAAAAGAGCAGACTGCATTTTTTTCTTTTTTTTTGCAATTTGGCCAAAATGCTGAAAATAGCAATGGACATTTCCTCCACAGATGTTTCTCCACAATTCCATTAGAAACCTCAATTTTGGAAGAAAATTCATTATGAGCTGGACTCATTGTGGAATTTCATCCAATAGAGGTACAGAATGAAAGGGCCTCAAGACCTGAAGTCAGCACTATGACTGTGAGGCAATGATATTGTACCACTCTGAGGCCTGGCTTGGTATTGAGTAAGAACTCATTCAGACAGGGAGCAGCTATTTGGAAAGTTTTAACAAAACACGTGGGCATAATAAAAGCCCCACAATATATCAGTCATAAGGGTATAATTTTTAGAATTTTTTTCTTTTTGGAGATAGGGGTTTGATCAGTCTTTTGACAAAACTTTTTGGCACCCAAAATAGATAGATGTCAAATATGTGTCATTGGACCAGGCACTGGAGATAACTGAACTGTACAGGTTATAAACCTCATAGAACTTACAAGAGCTTGTTATTATTACAAGAATGCTATTGTCTTGTTTTAGATGCTTACAATGAGGAGGACCTAATGCTGTACTGGAAACATGGGAACAAATCCTTAAATACTGAAGAGCACATCTCCCTTTCTCAGTTCTTCATTGAGGAGTTCAGTGCATCCAGTGGATTAGCTTTCTATGGCAGCACAGGTACAGCCTTTTATGTGGACAATTCGTTGGCATTTACTCAGTCCCTACTGTTTGCAAAGTACCTGGACTTATGAATAGACCTAAATCCAAACTAGTGACCCATTTTGCTAATAACATCCCCCTCGTTTTATAGGTAGCTGCCTCCACATTTCAATACATCACTTCTTCCCTCCTCAAGAGAATGTCTCTAACTAGGTGCCTTGCTTCCCTTCTTGGCCCCTCCAATCTACTCTCAGTATAGCATACAGAGTGATCTTTTGAATCATTAGATCATAGATTTTTCCTGCTTAAAATTCTCCAGTTTTTTGCCATCACACTCATAATCAAATTCAAACTTCTTAACATAATCTGTCTCCTGCTAACTGCTCTGAATTCTCCAAGTACACTTCTCCCTCTCCATCCTTGCTCTCCTCTACTGGCCTTTCTTATCCTAAAACACATCCATCTCATTTTATCTACAGGTCTTTGCTTTGGCTTTCTCTATTTACCCTCTCCCCATAATGCTTCCCTCTACCCCATCTTTTCCTCATAATCAGCTCCCAGCTTCATTCAGAAGGTTGTCCTGAAAAACTTCCAGGCCCGGTGGCACACTCTGTAATCCCAGTACTGGGGAGGCTGAGGCAGGAGAATGACTGAGTGTAAGGCCAGCCTGGGCTACATAGAGAGTTTAAGGCCAGCATGAACTACACTGTGAGTCCCTGTCTTACTTTCTTTTTCATTGCTGGGACACAATACCAGACACCCAGAAGTGAAAGGAGGCAAATAAGTTTTTTCCTTGTCTAAAATTAGCCTCCCCTTTCACCATTACCCATTTTTATTTGTCTTCAAAACACTTATGACTACTTGAAATTTGAAGTATTAGAATACTTTTTTGTCTATGTTTCTCCTTAGAAAGAAGACAGGGAATCTGCCCACCTTATTGACCATTTCGTTCCTCCTCACAAGTGCCTGACACAAGATAGATGCTCAAAAATACAATAGAATAGAATAAATAAAATCAGCAAAATGAATCAGTCAATAAAAAGCATCATTTTACCAATAGAAAATCTATTCAAAATCAAATCTATATTGTATACTATTTACTGTGGTAGACATATTTTTATTTTGCAATATTTAGCTAAGGCACTTTTAAAAGTTATATCTGATCCCTGTAGACTACAGTTAGAAGTTCCTTCCACCTCATTCGCTCCACCACTCTCCATCCCCCACCATCAGTCCCATCATCATGTCAGTTACTAGTATCCGGCATCATTTATAACAGATAAAATGCCATTTATGACTCAATGAAGCATATTCAGCCCAGAAATTGTGCCACAGCAGGCCTAAGATTCAGAGCTGTCCTGACCAAATCCTTTGGCCCACTCAGTTTTGATGGTAGTGCTGCTTCTCAAAGTTTCCCCATTGTTCACAGAGCTAAGACAGAAGTTATCGAGCTTTCTAAAAGCCTGCATCTTTAAAAGTGAAATCAAAATTTACATCTCAGAGGAGCTAATTGACTTTATAGGACCTATAGCTCTTTGAAAATTAAGATCAGGAGGAAACATTCTATTTCATCCCAGTATATTGTCTACATTGTTATTTATTTTAATCATGTTTATTAATTTTGGATATATAAGTAATACACATTTACGTGTTTTGATCACTGGTATATCCTTGGCTTCTTGGAATTGCTCAAAGGCATCTTGAATAAATGGATAAATGCTAGATAATTTGAACTCAGAAAAGTTCAAAGAAAAAAGGACTTTGTTAATCCTATCTCATAAATCCTATTTTTTTCTGTTCTTCCTTTTATTATTTATATATAAAT